AAGATTGATAAGGGGGGATATCCCTCTTATATGATTTCCCAGGCTGAGGCTTTATCCCTATGAACTGAGGGATAAAGGTGTAACCTTTCAGAAATTGTCTGCATGGGCTGCCTTAACAATACTTTTTTTATTTTTTCTATATGCTCTTTACATTGTCTACCAAATTGTCCCGGGGTAAATTTCATAATATAAAAAAGTCCACCACTATATACAGTAGGACAAAAATACTATAGAAATAGTCAAATAAACTGATCTCTAAACATAAATATATATATATACATACATATTTATAAAATGAACCAAATTCAAGTCTAAGTATTTTAAACATAACTGACAACTTCTAGCTTCTTAATATAATAGTTTTATTTTTTATTTTTAAATTATAAATGCAATCTGTGTCAACATTATGAAATTATATCTGGTTTTTGGAGCATTACTATTACAAAAAATAGAAGGGGACAAAGAGGATGGGATGAAATTTATTCTAGTTTATCATGAAGCTGTATTTGTTCAAATATTTAAAAGTGTTGATAGGTGATATATATGTGTTTTTAAAGAAGTAGCAAAGAAAATTTTAAATGAATGTTTGAGGTCAGAAGAATGTGCCATTAAATATTATAAAACTATTTTCTTACATATTGTATATGTACATGATCAGAAGGTAGAGGAGATGCAGAAGGAAATAAAAATTGTAGATGGTAGAGGAAATGAGACAATATGCAATGCAATAAGTTGAACATTATGTTTAAATAGATTTAGGTAACAATAATGTTCTTCTAATAAAAATTTTTCATCAAATTATACTAATTATACTTAATGATTATTACTATAGGATAAAATACATAATTCTTGCTGATTACAATTAGGGTCTTCCTTTATTATTATAATAAGAACTAACAAACTATGCTTTGCATCACAAACTATATGTCTTGTGTCACAAATTATGCTTTGAATCACTATGCCCTGCGTCATGAATTATTGCTTCAGAAGACCCTAGATTTCATATGATTATTACTTGGGACATTGATTAAAATGCCAAGGTTTTCTTTATTTACCATTCAACAAAAATTTATTAATTATAATTTGTTGTGCTAATTATAATAAAAAAACATATGTTAAATTAAAAATAGCAAACATACAGTATATTTTACATTTAATTGTTCATTTTCTTTTATAGTTATCCTAGTGAGTTTAGCTATTGCAGAAAATAACCATTTGGGTCATGTGAGTTTATAATGTTGTGACACTAAAAATATTGTGTCATTCATTTGAGATGATCAACAAGGGGAATTTTTTTTTAAAAAATAAAAAAAATAAATCAGTGGTAATGAGTATACATGATATGGTAATTAGCTAATTACCGTAAATACGTAATTCGTAATTAACGTAAATAATTACCACTTTCACTCTTTAAAAACGTAATTACGTAATTAATTATGGGTGACGAAACTAATACGGATAACGAAATTAATTACGGGTGACAAAATTAATTACGGGAGACGAAACTAATTACAGGCGACGAAACTAATTACGGGCGACAAAATTAATTATGAATAACAACGAATTAATTATTGGAAATATCATAATACAAGTCACTCCTGTTATAACAACACTCTCCGTACAAACAAAAAATGTCAGTATGACGAGAATGTCATTATAACGGGAGCTCATATAGAAGTCATATGAGAATCATTATCATATGATTTTGTAATTTTATTTTTATTATATATTTTTTTCATGTTTTATCAGGAAATTTAAAACTTACGCCGGGTCAAATTGACCAGCATTATACAGAAGTGTTATCAGAATTTTCCATGGTGCCAGTCAATCTTGATTCCGGCGTTTTATTTCCTTATTATTATGTTTTTTCAGAAATGAGGATGATTTTGATTGGTTCTCCCATTATACTGACATGTCGTTATAACAGAATAAATTCTAAAAAGTTGACAAATTATGTCATTATCAGTCGCAGGACATTGCGGATCTACAGGGGGTCAAGTGTCACTCACTAATAAAAAATTTTTGATCAACACGGAA